GTATAATGTTTTCTAATACTTTTCAATTTACATATATCATTTATCTTTTGTGTTCTCATCTCATTTTCTATTTCTCCTCTTCTTTTCTCTCTATTCATTGCAATTCACTCTTCTCTCCATCCTCTTTCTCGTTCTCTCCTTTACAAAGTGTTTTTCTCTTGAATATCTCTAACAAGTTCAATCTCATCACAAGAGAGAACAATAAAACAAAAGTTTGTCTCCTCCTTTTTTTTCTCTCCTTTACAAATATATTTTTCTACTATAATAGGTCACACTATTAGAAAAAACGACAATAAAAATAAAAGTTTCAAAAAAAATATTGATTCAATATATATTAAAAACAAATTGATTATTATTTTGTTAAAAACCTATTTTGTTTTTGACCGCTAAAACTTTAAAACTTTAATTGATATTAATGTTATGCTAATATTGAAAATAATAAAAGAATAGTAAAAATGTTTAGATTTTGTTGAACAAAATCCTTATATATTAAGGACAATTATAAATATGATTGTTATTGATAATATATTGTCTTCAAATTCATAATTTTTAATAATGGTTGTAATTTAAAATCATCAAGTCATATTTTTTTAAATCATTCTTATATTCCTTTTTTAGTTAATGAAATACTTTGTTGTAATAATTTAAGAGCAACTTTTTATCGTAAATTTCTTAATTAATGTTTTTATAGGGCATTTGTAACCGAGACTACTTGTACTTAAATTGTAAATTTGCTTTGATTAATTAAAAAAAGGGATTAAGTTTTTAAAAAGATCATTACCTTTTCATCGTGCCTATTGATACACTCAATAAGCCAGTTACCATATGCTTTAGTTTTTCTCACTCTCCAAGCTTTCTATATAAACGTATAGGATGTGAAGTTGTTGCATAACTTGAATTGAACATATAGAAATAGCAGAAGGTAGAAAAAAAAAAACATGGTTGCTTTCACAGAGAAGCAAGAGGCTTTGGTGAATAGCTCATTGGAAGCATTCAAGGCAAACATTCCACAGTACAGTGCTGTGTTCTACACCTCGTAAGTATTTTCTTTGAATGTGTGTTTCTCATGCATCGTTGGTTGTGTTTTAGAAATAGATCAACACTATACATGCTAATGCGAGTGTTTATGGTTTTGGTTAATGAATAGGATACTGGAGAAAGCACCAGCAGCAAAGAACTTGTTCTCGTTTCTAGCTAATGGAGTAGACCCCAGTAACCCTAAGCTCACGGCCCATGCAGAAAAGCTTTTTGGATTGGCAAGTCTCTACCAAATTAAATCATACCTATTTCATCTCATAATTTCGTTATTTTTCTTTGATGAATATCTTATCATATATATGATGATAATATTGAAATTGTAGGTGCGTGATTCAGCTGCTCAACTTCGAGCAAATGGAGTAGTGGTGGCTGATGCTGCTCTTGCTTCCATCCACTCTCAGAAAGGAGTCACCGATCCTCAGTTTGTGGTATGATAAGTAATGAAATGTCACAGTATCTTCTTTTATCATGTATTGCAAAGGTCATTGATTATCAATTATGATTCTTCAATTCATTCTCCCCAATGATTTTTTCTTTTTGTCAGTCATGCTTCAATTCAATATATTTTCATTAGTGTATTCATATTCATTACAGTGAACTTAAAATTTTATAATTACAGTGAAAAAAGTGACATAATGAATTGCAGGTGGTAAAAGAAGCACTGCTGAAAACAATAAAGGAAGCAGTTGGAGACAAATGGAGTGCTGAATTGGGCAGTGCTTTGGAGGTAGCCTACGATGAATTGGCTTCAGCTATTAAAAAGGCATATGCTTAGGATCCATATATAGCCTTTATTTGTAATAAATAAAATTTGTTTCACTATAAAACTTGTTATTAAACAAGTTCCCCATATAAATGTTGCTTAAATATAAGCCAATTATACTGTATTTGGATAAAAGGTCTTGATATTTATTTCCATAAATTATGTTTGTGGGTCATAATTTATATTTAAGAAAAAAAAATAATGTATAAAAAAAAGTGAAATAATATATGTTTTAATATTTTAATAAGATTGATTAAATGTTACCAAAGTTTTTCAACTATACATTTATCGTGTGGTAAATAAATTCAACCCTATGTTGAAGCTTATATGGATGAGAAAATTATTTGAACTCATCTAAGCCGAAAATATAGTGAGATAAGTAAGTGATTCAATCTACTTATTCGATGAGTTAGAAATGCGACGTAATTGTAATTGTAACTTCAGATGTTGACTACTAATTTTGGGAATAAAAAAATACCATATATCTAAACAAATGAGAGAATATGAAAAGTAAGAAAATACAAAAATATGTTTTAAATTTTTTATATAATATATTTAATTATTTATATTAATATTTATAAATAATTTTACTGAAATCAGAATATATATATATATATATATATATATATATATATATATAATTTATTTAGATTAATATAATGTCTCGTACAAGCTCCGTCGTTAATGGGATGATTTATAGTTTTATATAATTCTAAAATGAGTATAATATACATTTTTATATAAAGTAAAATAAGTGGTATGTGAGTTAATTAAAACTTTTTATATAAATATTATATTTTTATTGTAATATTTTTTGGTTTTGAATCACCAACTTTCCCCTCAATATATGATAAGTTGTATTTTGAGTTAAGATGTCGTGAATAAGTAATCTTATAATGTCTAAGATAACTAGTTCAAAGCAGGGCAAACCACTCTTTTTATCTTTATTGAAAACATATTCATTAAATGGTGTAATAATATATTAGATATTTCAAAGAGGAGGAAAAAATAAAGAGATTTATAACTAATGATTAATTAGAACTCAACCCTTTTGTCCATTCTTGTAATTTTTATTTTATTAAATGGGTCAACAGCATAACACACTTTTATGTTTTGAACATAAGAATTGGAATCACCGTTACTACGTTGATAATAATTTTAATCTATTAATTCATTTTCATTTACCAGTAAGTAGAATAAAGATAAAACATATTAATAATAAAACAAATTGGTACGATAAATCATTTAAAAAAAATATTTATATATTAAAATTAAAATTATAACTAAAAATATTATATTTTTTTATATCCTTTTATTAAAACGTGTAAATATATTATATAATTTAAATTATAAATATTAATTAATAAAATATAAATTATTGATTATAATTTTTATTGTAAGATATAAATATAGTAATTTTTTTATTTATTTAATAAAAATATTAGTTAATAAATTAAAAATTATTCATGTAATTAAATATATATATATATATATATATATATATAATTTATATAAAAAAAATATCAAAGCATTAACCCATTAATCTGTCAAATCTGCACTTCCACGAAACATGTTAAAATTTATACTTCACGAGTCAATTTATTTCCTCTTATTTTTCTTTTTTAAAACGACGCATAACCAATTGATATTTTTTATGCTTGATTTATAAATTATTTTTTTTTAAATATTGTTAAACAAAAATATAAAACAAGTAAAACATTTTTTTTAATTAATATTAATCTTCATTAACATTTTATGTATAATTTGCGAATCGTTATTCAAATAATTCACTATTACAATATTTTTGACATTTTTTAAAATTTAAAAGTTTTAAATAAACAATTTGAATATTTTTAGTTTTTTGGTTCTCATTGTAATGTATAATTATTTTTTCCCCAACACTAACATTGATGCCTAAAATATAAGCTTTTATAAATAGAAAAATCCTCACATATTTTTTATATGCTTAACGCTATATACTTTCAAGAAAAAAATGAAATTAAAATTAATTAAAATAATATTTGACATGAATTAGCCTGTTTCATATCTTAATATTGATAATTGATTACGCAATATTAATTACAAAATACAATATATTTTAAAGTGTTTTTCTCACTCGGATCATTCCTTCGTTTTTACCATGTTGCAATTCTTTGATTAATTTTCTTTATCATTTTCATAATTTTTTTATTTTTTATTTTTTTACTTTTTGTGAATATGTTCCTTGCCATTTTATTCATGAATGTAAAGGTTTTACTTGACTTTTTTTCGAACTAAAGACGAATGCAAAGCACACGCTTATAAACAAGTTTCAAGTTATTTATCTCTCATATTCAAATATAAAACATGATAATGGATACATGTAGTAGGAACTTATGTCTTTAAATAAATGCCTTATAATTTTAAATTATGATAATTATTTTTGTTGATGAATAATTTATATTAATGTTATATATATATTAAAAAAAAAGACCATGACATTACCTATTACATCACCACAAGTTGTTCAAATTTCTAATGACCAACCATTAGGAAGCATGAGAAGCCAAGCCATTAGTCTCAACTGGCTAAAAACACACACAAACGTCACGGTTGTCTTACATGCACCACACGAAATTGCCTTTTTTTAATCTTCAACAAATCATTATATAAAAATATTTCTATAATTTATTTAGAATATGGTAGCTATAAGTTAGCACATCGTTTTAATAAGTTGCTTAAAGTGTTAATAAATAAGAGAGATTAAAGAAAACCGAACTTTTCAATTCCTACAGAATTTAGTTCCCATTCCTTAAAAAGAAAAAAAAATAATGAATACATTATAAAATCTTAGTATTTTTTATTGAGAAATTATTTGATTTAAGTAAAAATAAATAAATGCATTAGGAATGAAAACTAAATTAATTTAGCAATGTATTTATAATTAGTTTAATATACTACAAGAATTCATTAAACTTTAAACTTTTTAAAGTTCAGAATAGTACTTAAATAATGTATTCACTTTTATTAATTAAAATTATTTAAGCTTTTAAAAAGATCATTGGATTCATCATGCCTATTGACACCCTCCACGAGCTAAGAGAGACAAAAACTAGTGTTTTTCTCACTCTCCAAGATTTCTATATAAGCAAATGTTGGAATGGGAAGTTATCATCATATCGAACATTAGAAATAACGTAATTAAAAGTAAAAGAGAAATATGGGTGCTTTCACTGAGAAGCAAGAGGCTTTGGTGCATAGTTCTTGGGAAGCTTTCAAGACAAACATTCCGCAATACAGTGCTGTGTTCTACACCTCGTAAGTCTTTTCTTTGGACATGTATATGTGTTTCTCATGCATTGTATATTAGAAGTAGATCAACAGTGTAGATGTTAATGTGAGTGTTTATGATTTTGGTTAATGAAAGGATACTGGAGAAAGCACCAGCAGCAAAGAACTTGTTCTCGTTTCTAGCTAATGGAGTAGACCCCAGTAACCCTAAGCTCACGGCCCATGCAGAAAAGCTTTTTGGATTGGCAAGTCTCTACCAAATTAAATCATACCTATTTCATCTCATAATTTCGTTGTTTTTCTTTGATGAATATCTTATCATATATATGATGATAGTATTGAAATTGTAGGTGCGTGATTCAGCTGCTCAACTTCGAGCAAATGGAGTAGTGGTGGCTGATGCTGCTCTTGGTTCCATCCACTCTCAGAAAGGAGTCACCGATCCTCAGTTTGTGGTATGATAAGTAATGAAATGTCACAGTATCTTCTTTTATCATCTATTGCAAAGGTCATTGATTATCCATTATGATTCTTCAATTCATTCTCCCCAATGATTTTTTCTTTCTCTAAGTCAAGCTTGAATTCAATATATTTTCATTAGTGTATTGGTATTCATTACAGTGAACTTAACATTTTATAATTACAATGAAAAATGTGAGATACTAAGAGCTAAAGCATGGGTAATGAATTGCAGGTGGTAAAAGAAGCACTGCTGAAAACATTAAAGGAAGCAGTTGGAGACAAATGGAGTGCTGAATTGAGCAGTGCTTTGGAAGTAGCATACGATGAATTGGCAGCAGCTATTAAAAAGGCTTATGCTTAGCATCTGTTGCCTTAAATTAAAGTGTAATAAATAAGTTGTTTCACTTAAACTTGTTATTAAACAGGTTCCCCTTATAAATGTTGCTTAAAATAAGTAAATTATATAGTACTATATATATGTTGATGAACAATCTCTATGTTATATATTTTTATAAATTTATGTTTGTGAATGGTAATGGGCACTTTGCCCAAATAAATATTCAAAATAGTTTACATGTTTTGAAATCATCACGTTAAGCTTAATTAAATAGGATACAAGTTTCTGAGAGTGTTTAATTATACTGTCAAGGTTATGATATGTAGTGAGAACTAGAGAAGCATGAAGAATGATTCAGTGATTAATCTTAGCAATCATAATTACAATTAAACGTAGAAATGTGTCATGTAAATTAAACTTAGAAATGCCCTTATTCTTACTTGAGTACAACATAATTGAAATTAGTGCTTTATTTGATGAAAATACATATAAACAAACTTGATAGAAATACATATAAACAAGTCAGTAAATCTAATATTTTTTTTAAGCTACCATAAATCTACTAAATTAATAATGAGTCTTTATTTTTTATTCTTTATTTTCTAAATATTATTATTAAAAATAAGAAAAATACAACAAATTATTTATCATTATATTAAAAGTGGAAGGACATGTAAAGTATACATAATTTCTTATCGTACCACATTATTAAAAAAAGTTTTATAAGAAAAAAATAATACTTAAATCATGGTCCAATTAGCAACCGAATATTATTCTCTTGAGATTAACAATATAATCTTAACGAATGAGAAAAATAAATCATGTCCAACAAACTATAGATTAAATCATTACTTCTCAATGAATGAAATGGGGAAGGAAATAAATATGTTAGAAACACAGTGTTTGAGACATGAGACCAAGTACACAAATAATAAATTCATTACTTGTTTTTTTTTTTTTTTCTCACACTCTTATACATATATTTTTACATTCCCTCTCCCATTATTTTAATCATTGTTTATGACAAAAACAGGTAAAAATAGGCTAAATATAGTCTCTGAGGACCTACAACTTAACATGCAAAAGGGTTATTTTGATAAATTTATTAAAATAAAACTTTTTTAAAACTCCTTTTTAAGTAAAACAAAATTCAATTCGTTAAGAGTGATTTAAGTGTGTATGTTTAAGGCAAATTAGTTTTGAGAGTGTCTTTCAATATCATTACGTGTATTTTTACATTAAAAAAAATATTACACTACAAGAAAAATTCATTTTAGCGACAGAAAAAATTGGTCGCTAATGTCAAAAAATCGGTCGCTAATCGGTTAGCGACCAGAAAGGCATCGTCGCAAAAATTCAAGTCGTTAATGTGTTAGCGACCGATTTTCATTTCGGTTGCAAAATAACGATCGATTTTATTTCGGTCGCAAAATATCGATAGAAATTAATATATCAAATTGGTCGCTAAAGTGGTGACAAAGTAAAAAAATAGCGACCGATTTAAATCGGTCGCTAAATCAATAACAAAGTAAAAAAATAGCGACCGATTTAAATCGGTCGCTAAATCAATAACAAAGTTTAAAAAATAGTGACCGATTTAAATCGGTCACTAAATCAATAACTAAGTTAAAAAAATAGCGACCGATTTAAATCGGTCGCTAAATTAATAACAAAGTTAATTATTTTTATTTATTTACATTTTTAATTATATCAAGTTCATTAGACAACTTTTTTTCTCCAATTGGACACAATTGTATTACATAATGAATGCTTAGTAGTTAGTAGTTAAGATGCATTCTCATCCATGAAATGTGGACCAATTTGTCATAAACTTAAGATTTGAGAAACATTTGCAAATTGAAACTGCCAACTAACGATGATGTGAAAAGATTTCTCATTGTCAAGTACTACTTAAATGAAACTGTTACACTTAAACACTGCTACACACATAATTGCCTTTTTTATATGGTAACTCTAAAACAACCTTAAGAGGGTGTCAATATTGTTTTTTGTGGACTTAAGACTATATTTCAATTGTAGAAAATGCATATATACCAAGAAAGGGTGAGACACAATAAAGGTGAACAAAAAAAAAATAGTATCATAGTAATGATACATTTTCCTTCATAAAACTGAATTGTAACGTCGCTTCTTTTGTGGTGTTGAATGTGCTCGTGCTTTGATCCCATATGTCTTCAATTGAAAATTTTCAAAAGCCTCCGAAATTGTCTGCACCTATAGGATTGCACAAAGCAATATATTAGTGAATCCAACCTCGAATGGGTAAAGGAAAGAAGTTTAAACATGCACAGGATAACTAACCAGTTCAACCTTTTTGGAGTACACCTTAACTATCATATCTTGGTAAGATATAGGTAGCAAGTGGCTTACACGGTCATCGGGTATTGTAAATTTCTCATTGCTTTCATAATCCTGAATGCATTATTGAAACTAGGTAACTCAATACAACTAGCATAATTTAATTCCAAACTAAGCACCAATAATCGGGCCAAACTAAACCACTTTAAATATTTCAATAATTTTGAACAATTGCAGCCCAAGTATCCCAACGAAGTAATATAAAATAGTTTAAACTAAAACTTATTAGCAAGGAAACTGTCAAACTGCATAAGGTAAGAGGTTTAATAGTGCAAAAAAAAGATATAATCCACTAATACAATATAGACACAGGCAAAACCAATTAATATATAAGAAGATTAAAGAAATATCTTGATGAAAGATAGTTAGGTAGGTTTGGCGATGTACTTTGAAAAAGTGGATGTCTGCCACGAAAACATGCACCATAAGAGAGAAAAATAATGCATTAGGATAACATTATAGTAAGTTAAAACAAACTAAATGTCTATGTTCAAGCAAGCATGATTATTCTTCATTGAATACCTTTCAAGAGGATTATGATTTCCACTAGTCAAATCAATTTTGACGTTACAAACAACTACATCCTCCTCTTTCGGAGTAACTCCACCACTCTTCCGCGAGATACATATATAAAACAAAATGGAATTCCTCCTTGAAGAGAAAGAATCAAAATTATATGCAATTTGCAAATGAGAAGGTTTAATCGGATTGAAGACCCGAGAGCAAACAATATCTTGAGGGGTGACCTTCTTAAAATTGTCTAGCATACCCTTGGGTACTGGGTACTCATTACAAAACCGCAAAACAAAATTCTTCCTCGGGTTCGACAAGACTATATAATTATAATTATAATTTAATAAATACACACAAACATTTTAGGCCAATGTAATGTAAATTTAGAAACATCCACACAATAGTTAGCATTGAATTTGTGACAAACGACTTGAGAAGATACGATGACGTAATAGGTAATTGCGGCAGGTAATTGACAACAATCAAAGAAAACCAACGAGGTTAAAAACATGTCCGGTACAAATTCCTCCTTCGAATGCGCAGGATGAACTCCCTGGCCTCCTTTAGTTCTTGACTTGTACTTGTCTCAATAGTTTTAACTATTGTGTCATCCAATTGAATTTTTAAAGTAAATTACGTTTTATGATTCAAAAGAGCATTGTAAAAATGCTTTTAATTTTGTAAGAAGCCCTGATAACCTTCCAGTACTGAGAAGGATTATTTATATGAAATTTCGAAATAACTATTAGCATGAACAAGTGCATCGATCATCATAAGCTTCATTGCCTGGAAACATCAAGATGGGATTAGAAACTGTAAAAACCAAGAATGGTAAGTTCATGGGTATTAAGTAGACACGTAAGGAAAAAAAAGGCAGGTATCTACATCTACCTAAAATTCAATAATCTTCTTAACAAAATGAACATACTTCATACCTTCACTTTTGGATGTGTATAAATTGTTCTATACAGATAAGCACGAGTGGCAAACATTTTGTGGATGGTAAGGTCTAGTAAATTACGCAGCCAACATGAAAACTACATATTCAGGAAAAAAAACTAAACGGAAATAACAGTATAAGACCCAGAATCAAACCGGAACCCGATTCAACCAAATAGAGGTAGTCAGTTTGACAATTCATACGAAAATAAAACAGACCCACACACAATTCATCCTTAACCAAGGAGAACAATCCACAGTAAAAAGGCATAAAAGAAATAGAACATAGCAGCAAAATGTGAACCGAAGGGCTTGACCCGCGACCCCTCTGACTCACCTCTAGTGCGCGACTGGTTCAATAATGGAGGTTAGGTTGAGATTTAGGGATGGCCACGATGGTGGCCAGGGAGGCGGTGGTGATGACTGGGGTTTGGTGGAGGTTGGATTAGGGTGAGGGCTGACTTGGGGGGAGCAGTGAGGGGGCTAGGGCTCGCCGGGAGTGAGGAGGAGATACTGGCCAATGTTAAGAGGAATGGGTGAGTGAGGCGCGAGAGTTAGGGTTATTTGGGGATAAGTGGCGCGAGATACGAAAGTGAAAAATGTTGTAGTATATGATAGCGGTTAAATCTTAACCGCTATTATAATATCACTTCTAATAGCGGTTAAATCTTAACCGCTATTATATAACACTTCTAATAGCGGTTAAATCTTAACCGCTATTATATATTTTCAAATATGATCGATCATTTGAAAATGTAATCGATCATAATAAAAAAATGTGGATGTCGCTCGAGCGAGATCAGTGTCGCTCAAGCGAAAAACAACCCGAGAATGCCAATTTTGTGCAGGTGGCGTCGCTCGAGCGAGACCATGTCGCTCAAGCGAAATACAACCCGAGAATGCCAATTTTGTGCAGGTGTCGTCGCTCGAGCGATGTTATTTTCGCTTGAGAGAATGTTGACCTGCTAACCGTCGATCAAAGTTAGCCGGATAATGTAACATGGGTGACCTCATGTTTGAATCAGATGTCGCTCGAGCGAGTATAGTGTCGCTCGAGCGAGTATAGTGTCGCTCAAGTGACATACAACCCGAGACTTCACAATCTTAAAATCTGGTTGTATATGATAGCGGTTCCACTGGAATCGCTATTAAAAGGACACTTCTAATAGCGGTTAACCCTTAACCGCTATCTA